ATTGCAAGGAAAAACAAAAAACCTGAATTCGCATGGTTCCGTAGCTCAGCAGGTTAGAGCGTGTGGCTGTTAACCACAAGGTCGCAGGTTCGAACCCTGCCGGTACCGATTTTATATGCAAGTAGAAAAAGAGTAAAAAAGGCATTTTCTCGCTATGTTTCAGCTTATATTTACACATAATCAAATAAATAATTATTTATAAAACAGCTATATTCAAACTAAATCATGAAAGAAGAGTGCTTGCACAGCCCTTGACTTATTTCTGCAGGAGCGCTATACGTGCATCGTTATTAACAGAACAAGAAAAGCGTGAGAGGCAACAGCAGCAAAACAATAGCACTCCTGATTTATATTTACTGTTAAAAGGTCATATGAAGAGATCTCTTTATAATAACTGCAGCAGCAACATCTGCAGCAGCAGCAGGAACAACAACAGCAGCAGCAGCAGCAGCGGCAGCAGCAGAACGAGCAGCAGCGAAAGGATCGCCTCTACCCAACGGCATGCAGCCTCAGGGACTTCTTCTTTGTAAAATCTTTAGGAAGTATTTGTTTTTTATCATTAATTCAAAGACAAAAAACAAACTAGTCGTTGGTGTGTGCCCGTGTGTGCGCCCGCAGCAAGTGAAGGCCGCGGGTTTTCAGCGGTAGCTGCACCAGCAGCAGCAGCAGCAGCAGCAGCAGCAACAGCACTATTACCCGCTGCAGCAGCAGAAAGCGCAGCAGCAGCAAGTGTCAAAGTAGTAGCAGTAGCAGCAGCAAGCCCCGCCGCCAGACTTCGGAGCAGCAGCAGCAGCAATCCACAGGTCAAGCCGCTACAAGAGAGCAGCGGGCCACTGCAGCGCACGTATTTCATTATCAGCAGCAATTTCTGCTGCAGCAGAATTTCTGCTGCTGCAGCAAGCGCAGCATGCAGCTGCGCTTGGGGGCTGCAGCTGCTGCTGCTGCTGCTGCAGCGGGCGATGCACGGGAAGCCGGAAACCTAGCCACTGCTCCTTCAGGTTGCATGCAATTGCGGCTAATGTAGCAGCAACACAAACAACAGCAGCAGCCGCAGCAACAGTAGCAGCAGCGGCAGCAGCGGACTCGAAAGGGCTGCTACAGCAGCTAGCTGCATACAGAAACGGGCAGCAGCAGCAGTAGCAAAAGCTGCAGCAGCAGCAGCTTCAGCAGCGACAGCTGCAGCAACAAAAGCTGCAGCAACAACAGTAGAAATAGCACGTGGAGCTGCCGCATCTGCATCAGCAACAACTGTAGCAGCAACAGCTGCATCAGCGCAGGCGCAGCAGCAACAGGTGCAGCAACAATAGCTGCTTCTAATATTTCAGCAGCTGCTTGCCGAGACAGGCAGCAGCAGCAACAACAACAGCTGCGACAGCAGCAGCAGCATCAACAGCTGCAGCAGCAACAGCTGCAACAGCGGCAGCGGAATCAACAGCTGCAGCAGCAGCAGCTGCTACAAGAGCAGCAGCAGTTGCTGCAGCAGCAGCAACAGCTTTAGTTGAACTTCAAAATGGGAACTTGTGGGAGTAAGAAGAGCCAGCTGAGCCGCACTGGCGATCCCCACCCGCAGCAGGAGCAGCAGCAGCAGCAGCACGAGCAGCAGCAGCAGCAGCAGCACGAGCAGCAGCAGCAAAACGCGCAGCAGCAGCAATGCGACTACCATGATCAGCAGCAGGATCACTCTCCTCCCCTGCTGCAACAGCAGCAGGGGGAAGAGCTGCAGCAACAGCAGCAACTGGCGAATTCGGAGGAGACGCTGCATGCAGAGCAGCAGAGCAGCGACAATGCTGCTGCTGCAGCAGACCGAGCCACCCGGAAGCAAAAGAGTTTAAAAGAGAGACAGCGCAGGAGACTGTCTGTCTCTGTTACTGCAGTAGACGACCCAGAAGAAGGAGAGAGTCCAGGTGCAGCAGGAGCAGGAGCAGCAGCAGGAGCAGCAGCAGGAGCAGCAGCAGGAGCAGCAGCACCAGCAGTAGCAGCAGGAGCAGCTGACAGCCGAGACAGCAGCCGCAGCAAACACAACGGCGTCCGAGGTGTATGTACACCTCAGAAGTCTCCAACACCCTCTAGAGTCGATGGGCGGAGAATTACTTCATTTTCTTCACCCTCAAATAGAGAAGACGGCAGCAGCGAGCTCAGCAAACACTCACCGTCTCCAGCAGCAGCAGCAGCAGCAGCAGCAGCAGCAGCAGGATCTCCTGCAGCAGCAACAGCTATCCTGTCTCCTCGCGAAGGCTACCGCGAAAACCATCTCTCTATTGAACAGCAGCAAACCCCAGGCTCTCCATCGGACTCTCCCTCAGCAGCAGCAGCAGTAGCAGCAGCAGAACCTAACAGCAGCAGCAGCAGCAACAGCAGCAGCAGCAGCAGCAGCAGCAAGCGGGGGTTCTGCCCCGATTTACCCTTATTGTTTGCCCCTCTACCATTCTCTCCAGAAGAAGCCTTCAAACATACCGAAGAAATTACAGCACAATTTTTGCTCGAACACTTCACTGCTGATTCACCAAATTCAGCCAGATGCGCCGTCCTAGGTAGGGTTTAGGGTTTAGGGTTTAGGGTTTAGGGTTTAGGGTTTAGGGTTTAGGGTTTAGGGTTTATTTAGGGTTTAGGGTTTAGGGTTTAGGGTTTAGGGTTTAGGGTTTAGGGTTTAGGGTTTAGGTTTTAGGGTTTAGGGTTTAGGGTTTAGGGTTTAGGGTTTAGGGTTTTTAGGGTTTAGGGTTTAGGGTTTAGGGTTTAGGGTTTAGGGTTTAGGGTTTAGGGTTTAGGTTTTAGGGTTTAGGGTTTAGGGTTTAGGGTTTAGGGTTTAGGGTTGAGGGTTTAGGGTTTAGGGTTTAGGGTTTAGGGTTTAGGGTTTAGGGTTTAGGGTTTCGTTTGCCGTTTGGGGTTTGAGGGAGAAGGGCTCCTTAGCCACCGTCTCTGAATTTAGGGTTTAGGGTTTAGGGTTTAGGGTTTAGGGTTTAGGGTTTAGGGTTTAGGGTTTAGGGTTTGGGGTTTAGGGATTTAGGACGAGGGTTGGGGGTGTGGGGCTTAACTTTTAGTGTTCAAGGTTGGGGGGTTAGGGTTTAGGGTTTAGGGTTGGAGGTCTGTGGGAGGGCTTAGGGTTTAGGGGTTTGGGCTTAGGGGTTTGGGACTAGGGTTTAGGGTTTGGGGGTTTGAGTTTAGAGTTTAGGGTTTAGGGTTTGAAGTGGAGGGTTTGGCGCTTATCCTCAGGCTTTCCTTCTCGAGACCGTCAGCGGGGATTCGACAACAAGAGAATGGACTGCGTGGTAAACCCTAAACCCTAAACCCTAAACCCTAAACCCTAGGGTGGCTTTTTCTTCGGGCTCTGGCAGAGGAAGAGCGTGGAGCGACTTTTTCTGTGCATTGTCTGACAGCGAGAGTTGAGGGTTTGGGTTTGCGGTTTGAGGTTTGGGGCTTGTGGTTTAGGGTTTAGGGTTTAGGGTTTAGGGTTTGCGCGCAGCTGTCTGCAACTGAGGAGTGCGAACACTTTGACGATTTCCAAGCACAAATTGGAGTCGGTTGCTCCTGCAAAAAAGGACTGAAACCCGAAAGCCCTAATCAAGATGATTTCTGATTTCTCCTTTATCCGGTAGGGTTTAGGGTTTAGGGTTTAGGGTTTAGGATTTGTTTTATTGTAGGCGTTCATCGTTAGGGGTGTACATGGTATTAAGAGAACAGTATTTAGTGCTCGTGGCCTACAATCTAGTGTTCCCCAGCGTTTCCTAGGGTTTAGGGTTTAGGGTTTAGGGTTTAGGGTTTAGGGTTTAGGGTTTAGGGTTTAGGGTTTGTTGCGTTCAGGTGCTCATCGTTTGGGGTGTACGGGGTATTTGACGGTCATGGGCCGTGCGGGCATCAGGCTTCCGATTTTGTGCATAGAGTTTTGCTGTTTTTGTTGCTTTCTCATCCTTCTTTAAGAAGCGATGTAGTTGCAGCATTAAGAGGGGCTTTTCACGCTGTAAGCCCCACAAACCCTAAACCCTAAACCCTAAACCCTAGGCAGCAACCAACCCTTCCCCGCAAACGCGCAACGCTAAACCACACAGCTGAGAAGTAGAGACTCATTTCACGCCCTTACAATCCGCAAACCCTAAACCCTAAACCCTAAAACCTAGGACCCAAACCCTAAACTCCAAGCTGATAAACCCTTCATAGATGCGGAGGAAGGGTTTTGCTGTTGATCGGACAGCACAAGGTCTGTCTCCGTAGGGCCTGAAGAAGCGGTTGGTTTATGGTTTAGGGTTT